ATTATTTACCAGCACTGCCTTAACCCTCTTGGGCATGGAGTTCACCAGAGCTTCACAGGTTGCCACTGGAGTCCTCCTCCTCCACTCCTCCATGACGACATCATGGAGCTGGTGGATGTTAGAGTCAAATACACAAAATAATGATCTTTAAAATAGCATCATATGACCCCTTTAAATGCAATTATTACGTTAAAATATTTTCTAATCTTTTTGCAGAAAATTTGTGCTGTTATAAAGTGTCATGAAAATAAGTATAAAATGCGATATTTCATTGTTTTAGAAAGGAGGCTTCAGGCTGATACTTCAGACAGAAAGGAGGAAATCCTAAGAGAACAACACATTTTGTTGATGAAAAATTTGTTTTTTAAAACATGGTTGATTATGTTGTTTGTATCAAAATGATCAGTGTTGATCAGTGTTCTTTCTTCTTTAACAAACAAATGGATTACATTTAAAAAAAGGTTTTGTGGTGGTAAAGTTTCACAAATATTTGCTGTCAAGGAGTCACAGTTCATTTTTTTGATGAATTTGTTTGCTTTGTTTTGTTTAAAAAAAACTTTGAATATGTCAAAGAAGAAAGAAAGTTTATTTTTTATACAATCAATATCAAAGTTAAATAAAAAAAATGTAATGCTATACTTCTCACTTTCTCTTTAAAGGCAGCATTAGTATTTGTCTGGAGAGGGGGGAGAGGAGGAAAGAGAAAAAAACAAAAACAATAATAACTAAACATTGGTCGAACTTTATATGACAGAATTTAGCATTTTTAAAGTATTTAGTGTCATATGAACTGTGTATATATAGTATCTGTATGTACTTTGTTGCTGCAATATAACAAAGAGTGAAAAATTGAAGGGGGTCTGAATACTTTCCGTACCCACTATATATATATATTTTTTTTATTATCATTATTATTATTTATTTAGCAATTTCCAAAAAGGGGGAAGGGGAAGCAAAACCTCACATGTACTGAAAGACTACTTTTTTCTGTCTTTTGTTCTTTTTCTTTTTATTATTATTACCAGTAATGCTTCCACTTCTATACTTTTTTACTATTTAACCAAAACTGAAAATATTGAAAATATTATGTTACAACCAATCAGTGTTACAAGAAATGTGTCTATACTATATTCATATATGGTACAATAGTATATTATTAGTAGTAGTAGTAGTAGTAGTAGTAGTAGAATATATCACAAATGTACTTTATTATTTTTGTCACTGTTTTTTTTTTCCCTCTTTCTTTCTCATATATTGAAAGGCTGTGGAATATGTCTGTACTACACATTCTACATTTACATGTATTCATATATCTCTTTGGTTTTGATATACCGTATTGGCCCGAATATAAGTCAAGTCAAGTCAAGTCTGCTTTATTGTCAATTCTTCCACATGTACAGCACATACACACAGAGAATTTAAATTGCGTTACTCTCAGACCCTTGGTGCATACAGATAACACTAACAGTAGAACATAAATACAGATATACAGATTAAATATAAAATACAACTATACAAATATACAAATAAGGTAAAATGTAAAAAAAAAATATAAAAAAATATATATAAAGTGTGTGTGTGTGTGTGTGTTCACTACTGTGTGTGTGCACTTGGATGGGATAAATGCAGAGCACAAATTCCGAGTATAGGATACCATACTTGGCCACATGTCACTTCACTTTCACTTTTTCAAATCAGTGAATCAGTGAATCAGTGTGCGCTCCATTACTAAAATGTCAGTTACGATAAACTGATTCCGATATAGGAAGCGAAATGAGAGCACTTCTTCTGTTACTCATGTGCCTTATTCACAAAAACAACGTCCATTAATGTTAGATAAAACATTACAACGTTACATTCAATGATAAATAATTCATTTTGCATCGTGTGTAAAACAATACAATTTATTGAACTGTTTATATTGATAAAAAAAAAAGCAAAAAACGATTAAAAACACAAACCTTTCTTCAGCCCAATCACAACAGATGGAGAGCGGCGCAGCCGTATGACGTCATGTCTCCAGACCAAAATAAAGGTCTTCTTCATCTTCTTGCTTTACGGCGGATCGCAGACTTATAAGAGCATTACCGCCACCTATCTCTCAAATAGACCACTGACACTCTATCTACAATCTCCTACCAACCCACATTCAAACACCACCCGCTTAGAGTCTTCATAGAGCTTCATCCGGCGCTGCGCAAAATAAAAGTCCTGTTCACACGCAGTTTACATTCCAAACAAAACTTCTCAAAAAGTATATTATTATTATTATTATTATTAATAATAATAATAATATTTAAAACATATTACTTTTGCTGTATTTTGGATCAAATAAATGCAGGCTTGCTGAGCAGAAGATAAATCTTTAAAAAACATTAAAAATCTGTTTTTGGTAATGTACGTTTCAATACTGTTAATACATAACTCCTACACTTAACATGTTTTTTTTAACTAGTAAACCACATTTGCACTACTTGCATTTTAATACATGGATAAGCTGGTATAAATAGTTTTTCTGCACCCAAACTTTTAGACAGAATCTCACACTCTTTCATTGCAATCGATTACACAGCATTTATTTTATTTATACTGTAATATTTTCTGTACTTAAGCCGCTGCCACCACCTTTAATTCTTGAAGCCAGTGTGGTCTGGCACCAGAAGACACACCATACACAACTTCAATCACAACAGGTAATTTTATTAAGAGAAGGGACTGCAGGGGCCCGTTCTTCG